CATTGCACCAGTGTTAAATATACATTAAGATTTGTAATGCTTTTTTTGAAAGAAGTCTCTATGACATTGCAAGGCTTTGACAAGGCTGCATTTATTTGATCAAAAAGAAGAAAAAAAAACATTAATTATGTGAAATATTCTTACAATGTAAAATGACAAAATTAATATATTGTAAAACGTAATTTATATCTGTGATCAAAGCTGAGTTTTCAGCATCATTCCTCCAGTCTTCAGTGTCACATGATTCTTCAGAAATCATTCTAATATGCTGATTTGCATATTATTATTGCACAAGGAGTCTGCCAACAGCCAGTGCTCCACACAGAGATCTGATCTGATCTGATCAGCATCAGTCTGTCTGAGATTACATGAAGAAACACAACAAACTGAGACAGACTCAATCCAGAAGAACTGTGTCTGCAAAGCTACCTGAAAAACAGTCACAAAACGCAGACGCATCGCTTTCCACAGAGAAGACGGTTTCATCCGTGTTCGTAAAAAAAGCTCCCATAATGCTGCAGGCTGAGCCAGAGGTGTCAACAGCTTATAACTATAAGCTCATGAATGTTTAAAATCCTGTAAATGGACCATTTAACTACAATCTGATAACTTGATACTTGAAAATAGCGCATGTAAATGGATCGGAAATGGCACTGCAGTACAAAAAAATTAAGAATATATTCTTCCCCTCAATGAATTTAACTAAATGAAAGTCTTTATTTTGTTTTACAGGAATATTCTAGGTTCAATCTGGGTCCAAAACGCCAAGCTCTACTGACATCAGTGCATGTTAATATGTAGGACCGCATCGATATCCTGGGACACCACGGGGTCTTATCACATGTTAAATGACAAAGGTGATTTGAAAAAAAAATAGGACACATAACATTAGGCAACTAGAAATAGTAGCCTAATAGCAGCATTATTCCTTAGACAAGATTTAGGGAGTCAAAAATCACATTAACTGTTTTCTACAGTGGAAGCCTATATGGGGCAAGACATTGCACCAGTGTTAAATATACATTAAGATTTGTAATGCTTTTTTTGAAAGAAGTCTCTATGACATTGCAAGGCTTTGACAAGGCTGCATTTATTTGATCAAAAAGAAGAAAAAAAAACATTAATTATGTGAAATATTCTTACAATGTAAAATGACAAAATTAATATATTGTAAAACGTAATTTATATCTGTGATCAAAGCTGAGTTTTCAGCATCATTCCTCCAGTCTTCAGTGTCACATGATTCTTCAGAAATCATTCTAATATGCTGATTTGCATATTATTATTGCACAAGGAGTCTGCCAACAGCCAGTGCTCCACACAGAGATCTGATCTGATCTGATCAGCATCAGTCTGTCTGAGATTACATGAAGAAACACAACAAACTGAGACAGACTCAATCCAGAAGAACTGTGTCTGCAAAGCTACCTGAAAAACTATGCGCAAGTGCACCGAGGGCAAACGCTGCTTTAAACGCAAAGGATGGTCACCAAATGTTGATTTAATTTAGTTAATAGAAGCTAATTGATAAAGAAAATCTATTACGTTATTTTTGACAGCATCCTCATTTTACAGCATTTTTACACAAGTGCCTTTAACTTTGAACAGTACTGTAGCTTTGCAGTACGGTCTCTTGAAGCATCTTGGAGACAGATCTTCTGGATTGAGTCTGTCTCAGTTTGTTGTGTTTCTTCATGTAATCTCAGACAGACTGGATGCTGATCAGGTCAGATCTCTGTGTGGAGCACTGGCTGTTTGCAGACAAAAATCTCACTGGATTATTACAATTAATGGCTATATGAATGTTTGGAAATGTAAACTGATATTTCCTACTGACACACTACAGGAAAAGATAGAAATAAATGGCTTAAAATATTTGTTTAGCTGGTGAAAATACTAGTGTTCTAATAAGTTTGGCCACCACTGTATACAGATAAAGATAATTTAGAGCGATATATCGTTTTGCCGATATTATCGGCCGATATGAGCCTGTCGTCGATATATCGGTATCGGCGAATATGCCACCGATATGAATTTTTTTTTTACAGAACATATAACGCAGATAAAATGCTTGAAATGGTGTAATTACTTAGTTTGTCCAGCACTTATTGGCTAGTAGCTCTATTGTTTGCTACTAGCGACCTGGATTAAATGCTTTAAAGCTTGGAAAACCATTGAAACTTTGAACGGCCATATCTCCATAACGCCGCGGTGAATCACAAGTCATATTTGGATTTGGAATCAGCATCTGCATTTATCCCATCCAAAGTGCACACACACACCGTGAACACTGTCACACACTTCTCTAGTAAGTTTCGTCTGTGTGTGAAGACAGTAGCGCAAATCTGTGAATGAATGTTCCGAAGTGAAATAAACTTCAAAGGAATAAAGTTGAATGGAATTGAATTGAATTGAATTAAAGTTGAATAAACTTCAACTTTACTGTTCAGTGCACTGATGTCAGACTATGGATAATAAAGTTTGTTAAATTGTTAAATGCCGTGCCTCCATTACGTATCTTTGTTACGTCATTATAAGTGTTTGATCACCACATTTGAGTGATCATTGCAAAAAATGTTTATGTATATATATTATGTTTATGTACAGTATATACTGTATTCTATATATAGTACCAGTCAAATGTTTGGACCCTCGAATGGGAAAGTGTCCAAACTTTTGACTGGTACTGTACTATAATATACACAAAGAATATCGGCTGATATATCGATATCAGACTTTTTTTACTCCCTAATATCGGTATTGGCCCCAAAAAACCCATATCGGTCGGGCTCTAAAAGATATATCTCTAAACTGAGATGGCTTTATACCAAAGCAATAACGTTCAGAATTTTTTTTTTTTTTTTTCATTTCAGTTTTGTGTCTCACTTCTTGTAATGACACCTCGGCAACATTCAGTCGGAAAAGCTGTTTTGCTCACCTCTCCATGAGCTCTCACGCTGCCGGGACAGAGGGGGTTGTTTGGGTCATGCCGTGGGGTGTTGTCCTCTGGAGGTTTCTCCACCTGTCCTTTCCACGGACGCTTCATCCGATGAGCCGAGACCAGAACCCAGGAGTCCCGCAGGGGATTGTACCTTAGATGCTGGTGCTCTGAAACAAATTCAAGAATAATCTGAGATTTGATTTGAAAGGACAGGCAGAACTTTGCCACTCTGTAAAGTATGTTAATTTCTGAGTCACTGAGTCACAAACGAATAATCTTTTGAACGAGTAGATTTCGCAAAGCGCTTGTAAATTAATGAATCTCACAGGACAATTTGACAGTTTAAACAAACATAACCAGTGTTGGGGGTAACGCATTACAAGTAACGCGAGTTACGTAATCAGATTACTTTTTTCAAGTAACTAGTAAAGTAACGCATTACTTTTTAATTTACAAGAGAATATCTGAGTTACTTTTTCAAATAAGTAACGCCAGTTACTTTTTTTCTCCAATTTATTGACTGACAGCTCTCCTGTCCCCATATTTTATGGAGTAACGCAATATTGTAATGCATTACTTTTAAAAGTAACTTTCCCCAGCACTGAACATAACTATCATAAAATTCCAAGCAACCTATACTAATTTTAAAGCATTGTGATAAACAATAGCATGTATAAAAATACATCTAAAATGTATTTTACTTAGAAACGACACCTAAAATTCCGCGAAGTGTTATGCCTAACTACTAACATGAGTTTGAACCGTTTGAACCGGTTCATACACATAAACTGTCCAAACGAACCGATTCTATAAAATGACTCGGACTTCGCACCGATAGATGAATCACATGATCCGCTTCGCGTCACAGCCAGCCGTCACGTGACTCATCTATCAAGTATACTATTTTCAGTGGATTCAAGCCACAGGAGCAATAACAAAAAGAGGTCATTACATGGCATCTAGATTTATCCGTGAATCACGCACAGTTAAAAAAGCTTAGAACATAAATATGCACAAGTGTCAACATGTAAAAACATCCCTCACCTTTAGGATCAAACGTGGGTTTACTGATACTGTCCATCTTACTGCTTAATAAAATCCCCTGTGGTTACGAAATATATCCGATCACCTGTTACGGGTTGTTTTGATTGTTTCTTTCTAGAGTTTCAAGTTTTCAATTGATCGCCCTCCTAAGTATCCTCAAGCGAACAGTGCTGCGCAAATAAAACGCACTGTGTGGCTTCTAAAGATGAATAAACCGAACAGTGCTGGCACTGTTTACAAGCTCCCCGAGAACAAAAATAATACCACATACGTAAATACATTCATTTATTCGATATGTCTCGCTGTATCGATAAAAGCCGCTTTGTGTATGTTGCGTATTTTGGAGGCTTATTGATGATAAAGATGCACCGCCGCGCCGCCTGCTTCCGTGTAGCGCCCTGAGCGATTTCATTGGCCTAGAACTCGCCGTTTGTGGCAGCCGATTGGTTGCCACCGGTGTGACGTCCCCCCGCGTCATCGCCCGTCGCCTTTCATGTGTGCAATGCTGTGTGTCTGAATGAAGTATGTTTAATGTCTTTTGCAATCTACTTTACTTTTAAACAGTCGTTTGTGCCCGGATTACGATGTCTGTAATAAGAACTATTCTAAAAACGGTGGTGGTTCTCGGGTTTCTGGTGTTGACAGTTCAGTTTATAAGATATTGGATGGCAAATAAACAATATGTGTTTACAAAAGAAGATGTTGCCAAGTTAGCCAGACAGTATGCAGGTGAGTGAACACACACAACCTGTTTCTATTCAGAAGTCATATCTGTTGCAGTAATTGGTTTCTATATTCTTATTCTTAATATATATATATTGCGAATATACACTTCCTAGCAACACAAAGCTGTATTCAGATGCTCATATTGTCTATCTAAAAGAGTTGTTTAAAGTATATTTTGAGCAAATACCACATCTAATAACATAACAGTCCAGTAATGACTCTTCCTAACTTGTCACTTGTCTGCTAGATGTCTAAACCAAGTAAAACTAGATGTCTAAGCTGTGTGTGTGTGTGTGAATGCGGGCGGCTGGATGGGCTCCATGTGTCTGCTGCACGCCTCTCTCACAGAGTATGTGCTGCTGTTCGGGACGGCCGTGGACACGGGCGGACATTCAGGTGGGTCAAGAACATCTCCAGGGCATGTGTGTCCTCAAAAATAAAAGAAAGGAATAAAAAATCTGAAATAAAGACTACTATAGGATCATATGACTTTTTGCACTGCAACATTATTTTTTAATTAAGCACTAAATTCTAATTAACTTGTTGCAGAATAATAATAAATGAAAACAATTGTGTATAGCAATATTATTTAGAATATAAATTTGTATATAATGTGACAAACAACAAGCCCTACTCTACACTGCTCAAAACTCGCGTTTGAATCATCAGTGGCAAATTCTTTGAATATAAAAAAACGTACTTACAGGCTGTGAGTCAGAAGAATATCTCTTTGGATTTGAGACTTTAGTCTTTGTAACTTTACAGATCTTCTTTATGCACCAAGAGCTTGTAACACTCCAAAGAGAAAGGAAAAACTGAAATTGCATCATATGACCCCTTTAAACAAATGCTGTAATAAATACTGTATTGATAATCTAATGGGAATCACTATTAGTAATAATGGGAATTGCAAAAAAAAAAAACATCAATATGAATTACAAAAATAAGCATTTTGAGATTAAATAATGTCACAATCTTAATAGGCATAAAATATGGCAAATTTTCTGTATTCCCAATTTTTATGAATTTTTTGGGTGGTGGAGGTGGTGTTTTGCCTTGGCTTCTAACTAAAATAAAATAAGTTGAAGTTGAAGTATTATTACTAAAATGACTAGGACTATAAAACTGTGTTTGTAGTTCATTTTCTTTCTTTTTTTTAATTGTAGTAATTTATTGACTGGTTAAATTGTATGTGTTATTTGAAATCAATCTATAAAATATTAATATTAGATGAAAAACATATGCTTAAAAAATGTAAACGAAAATTACAAATGTTGCCTGTGCTGCTGATTGAAAATAAGTATGCGTAAATTAAGTTTAAATAACTAAAAGTTCAACTGAAGTAAAATAAAGGTGCATAGAAATATTAAAATCCAAAAGCTAATTTAAAAAAATAAATAAATGTGAACTAAAATTAAAGTGAAAACTAAAAAATATAAATGGCTTATATAAATAATGATTAAATGACTACAAATATAAATAAGGCTATTTCAAAATCTTAACAAAAACTATAATGGTGTATAAATAATACTAAAATAGCATTGTTCTAATTTTAATTAGTTGTGACCCTGGACCACAAAACCAGTCATAAGGGTAATTTTTTTTTTTACATCAAGCTGAATAAATAAGCTTTCCATTGATGTAGGGTTTGTTAGGATAGGACAATATTTGGCCGAGATACAACTATTTGAACATCTGGAATCTTATTTGAAATATTGAGAAAATCGCCTTTAAAGTTGTCCAAATGAAGTTCTTAGCAATGCATATTACTAATCAAAAATTAAGTTTTTATATATTTAAGGTAGGAAATTTACAAAATATCTTCATGGAACATGATCTTTACTTAATATCCTCATGATTTTTGGCATTGAAGAAAAATCAATAATTTTGACCCATACAATGTATACCTGTGCTACTTAAGACTGGTTTTGTGCTCCAGGGTCACATATATGAATTATTGTGATAAATTATATTAATGACATGTGGCAGATGGAATGGGATAAATGTCATGAAAATAAGTTAAATAAAACAAATCCTAGTGTAAGCATTTTTTTTTTTTTTTTACTAATTTTAAATCTAGGTAAGACCAAGTTGTTTTTACAAGGTGTCTTTTAGGTCATACAAGACTTACACTTGGATATTTATTAAAAGGTGAAGAACCACCATCATGCCTTACCTGCCAAACTAAAATGACCGTGAAACATATTTTATTGGATTGTACTGTTTTTAATGCAAATAGACAACGGTTTTATTCAGAGGTGTGTCTAACTGATTTATTTATTTAAAAAGTGAATAAATGTATAAATAACACATACATACATACATTTTTCCCCACATCATATGTGTGCAGCAATGACACCAAATACGGCTGTTTTTCTTTTCATATTTGCGTCTCCTTCAGGTCGTTACTGGGCAGAAATATCAGACACCATCATTTCTGGAACGTTCAGGCAATGGAAAGAAGGAAGCACTAAAAGCGAGACTTACTATCCAGGTACAACCACCACACGTCTCCACCACACACTTGAGTCTAACAGTGGTGTGAAGCCTGTGTTTGTTGTGGCAGGAGACACTATCGTGCATGCGGTGGGAGAGGCCACGTCAGTGCAGTGGAGCGCCGGGACATGGATGGTGGAGTACGGCCGAGGATTCATTCCCTCCACGCTGGGCTTCTCTCTGGCCGACACCGTCTTCAGCACCCAGGACTTTCTAACACTGTTTTATACTGTACGTGTTTATGTGAAGAGTATGATCCTGGAGGCCAGCACTTTCCTCACTGACTCCGGCGTCCTCTGAAACACACACGTCGCTGTGTTATTCTGATAACTGCCCACAACATCAGCTGGTCGTTTGCTAATGGAGAGCCGACGACTTGTTGAACTGGATGTATGGAAAGCACTTAATGTACTTACTTTTAGTTTCATTTTCCGTACTGTACAAAGAGTTGATCAAATGTCTTTTCTAAAGGTGAAACACATTTTTGGTCAACACACTGTTTGGGTAGATACCAAGCTCGATACTGTCCAGAAACGCTTATTACGAGGTATGGATAAAACAATCAAAAGGTAGCTTTCTGTATTTCCAGATCACACTCTGCACCTTTAATATACTGTGAATATTAATTGTTGCTTTATTTTTCATAAGATACATTGTTCAAATCTGTCTCCTGTTCAGCCTGCAGTCGCTCCAGAATAAACCTATTAATTAGTATTGTTGAATACGTCTTTTATTTAGAATCAAGTTATTTAGAAATGATTTTTTTGTTTGTTTGATTTCTATTATGTATCTGTCAAATAAGGAATGTGACAAAAAAAAACAGAATTATTTTCCATAATGTACAAAGAGTTGATGTTTATTAATTATTTTATTGACATTTACAATCAATTGACAGTTTTTGTTTGTTTGTTATTATTATTATTATTTTTTTTACATACTGAATTTGCTGCTCAAGAAGCATTTTGTTATTATCATCAGTGTTCAAATGTTTTTGCTATACTTAATATGTTTGTGGAAACAATACAATTCAAACGTTTGGGGTGAGTAATGTAATGTTATATACCATGGTTTCCACAAAAATGTTATGTCAGCAGAGTTGCCTTTTGCTGCTCACTGAAGGCTCTGACCAAGTGTTTTTTTTTTTTATTATTATTATTATTATTAATAATAATTCAGCATCAATAATAATTCATAATAACCGAGTGCCAAATGATTTCTGAAGGATCATGTGACAGAAGACTGGAGTAATGATGCTGAAAATTCAGCTTTTATCACAGAAATAAATTACATTTTAACATATATATTCAAATAGAAAACTGTTATTATAAGTATAAATAATACAATTTTTAATAAATAAATAAAAATACAAATTGTACTGGATATTTTATTAAATATATGCAGCCTTTGTGAGCATTATTCCAAATGTTTTGACCGGTAGTGTATGTAATTTTGCATATTATAATCCTATAATGCATATGTAGTTTTTCCTGCTGCTGGTGATCAGCGGCAGTATCACACACAGCGCTCGCGCTCATGGCTCATTCATTTCAGCCCGCTGCTGTGTGTGTGTGTGTGTGTGTGTGTTCATATTAGCATGGATCGCTCTTATCAAGCCATAAGGACTGCTAATCAGGCCAGAGAGGCGGTGAGTGCTGAAGTCAAGCTGTTGTTGTAGCTTTCGTGTTAAACTTTGTTCTCGATGATTTCACGCGATAAACTGCAGTGTGTTGAGCAAATATTCGTGTATAAAGGAAAGAGTATAAATATAGATATATAAACATTGTGAGATAAGCGGAGTACGAATGAAGTCGAGTGCCTTTTTATCGGTTTTAAATAGCCTTTCGGATATTTTTGTTATTTTTTTTTATTTTTTTTTTTTCACAATTAGCAAGATGGCTAGTTAGTTACTAATGCGCGTGTTTACAGTCGTTGAGTGCTGTGTTGCCATAGCAACCTGTCATGCTGTCAATGCATTAATGTAAGATTTGGCGCCATCTAACGGATAGTCAGTGGAGATTATTACAAATATTCATCAATTCTAATATCTGTTACAGCTCAAATGTATCCGTTTGAGTAACAATTCATATTCACACACATTCCCTGTAAAATAGGCTACTAGTACTACAGTTGCGGCAAGTAACCATATTAAAGTCGCGACATTTAGTTTGTTGATCCAATTTTAAATAAACGTTTTATGAATTTGTTTTCTTAGGAGGAGCTAAGAACAGAAACGCGCAGGAGAAATTTGCTGGTTTTGATTTATCATCATTTACTGGAGGAGGGGTGAGATCTTACAAACATTTATTAAAATGGCATGAACATTAAATGACTCTAAATTAAAGAAAAGACACGAGTGTAAATACACTAAAGTCATTTATGTTTCGACTGCACAGGTATATGGATTCAGCTAAAGCCTTAGAGAAAGAAAGCAGTTTTGCTTTATGCCGTTTTGAGGTGTGTGATAATGTTGACTTGGAGACCGTTCTTATGGAATATGAGAGTTATTATTTAATAAAGTTTCAGAAATATCCCAAACTGACAAAGAAACTGACAGAACCAGGTGAGATTTTACTTCTAACTTCTGTGAAACTTCATAAATATTGTTGTATTATCTTTTAATTATCTACAGTGGTGTGAAAAAGTGTTGGCCCCCTTCCTGATTTCT